AGAGAGAGAGAGAGAGAGAGAGAGAGAGAGAATTCAGAAAATTGCCACCAGCCGAACCAAATTTTTCACATCAAATGGATAGAATGAGCGGAAAAGCAAGTTAATGGATTAAAAATGAGGCCATAATACAAATTTGCGGAAGGCAGAGTTAGTCGGACAAGAACATTTGAGTTGAAAAAGAATATTGGAGTTGAGAATTCAAGAATATTGCCAAATTAAAATATGATTTGTCCTGCCCTTAAAAAAATTGATTGTAAATACGAGAAAGAATATCCACGATCCAGTGATACGAATCGTATCCGAGAAAAGCGAAGTGAGAGCTGCTACGCCTTCATTTCATTTACAAAACAACTGGAAGAAATTTTTTTCAACAAAAAAATTTGCTATCATCCCATTAACTGACCCCGCAATGCACAGGAGAAAAGCCGAATCTATTCAAAATATATATTATACCTCTTAAGCTAGATAAGTTAAACGTAGGATGATCGACAGTTGAGATTCTTTACTATTAATGTAAATTTCGATGGCATGCATTGGTTAAAATGTCAATACTATACCAAAATTTAACATTTAATAATAATTTGGCCACGGCAATGCCTACTTTTCGAGTCCGAAGAAAATCTTTGTTTTCTAAGGAATTTACTGGTATTGGCACGTACAGGGTCTCCAAGAACGAGCTTGCTTTCCTTAGATGATAGTCTCTAACTTTATCTTGTTATTGTAAACAGAACACAATTATTGCGCAAATGTAGCCATGACTCATGGATCATGGCTTTGTGCCTGAATACACGTCGATAAAATTAGGAGATAAATACATGATCAATACAGATCTGATACTGCTAAGATCAAAGGTTTTTATTGACGACAAAATAAAGTTTGTGTTTTTGTTAAGAAACATTGCTGTCACAGAATTTTAAAAGGCCGAGCGGTTGGTTTTACTTGTGAGAAGCAGTCATGTCTTTTCGATGCTCTTCGTGTATGGCACATTTAAGGCAGCCAATGAACGTCTCGAAGATGCTGTGCTGCGGTACTGGTACATCCATCAATTATGCAAAACCTAAACTAATTGCGTCAACTTCAGGAAATCAAATCCTTGGTTTTAATAATTTTTTGGGCGAACTCTTTTAGATTCAATTAATATATATCATCATAATTTATAAACAAGACCATACTGAAATTTTTTCTTGTTAGTAATAGTACATGATAAGCGGAATTGACCGCCCAACGCATGTGCAATCATGTTTTACTAATTCATCTTTCGATACAAAGCGGCGCTTATGATCACTTTGGTACAAAGTAATTCATGTAAAACGTTGAGGTCCGACTATTAACTAAATAATTTAGATTACGCTTCACTCTTAATTTAAAAACGAATTTTGAAAGTTTCTAAAATTATTTTTCATTTAA